CGAGCAGTCGTCGAAAGGGCATCAGGGAAGCTCGCCCATAGACCGACCATCATGCACGATGCCTATCGAGGTGCTCAAGGTGAACCTTGGCGCGGAGTTTCAAGTGTACCCCCGTCGTCCGTCTGAGGGTCCACTCGACTCCAAACCCGCATCGCACAGAAGAGAAAGAAGAGACCCTAGTTATTTTCAAAGAGCTGCTATAATATTAAGAGCATGCGTAATTCCCAGATTCGCGACTTGCCATTCAGTCCTAGGGTGACGCGGTGAAAAAATCCAGGCCGACATGGAGGAAAGAGAGAACCTGATTGATTGCCGATTACTTGCGGATGTATAGCTGTTCCACAGCCACCTCCCTCCTTCCCACTGACCACGCGTTCGAAAAAGTCCGATTTGAAGGGTAAGCCCGCCAGTCTACTATACTCTCAGTCTATGAGCACCAAACCTTTCATGTCCAGATGGACTCTGCAGTCAAGAGGATGCCACCCGAGATGCTTGCCGAAATTTTCTCGTGGACGTTGGCGCCGGCCATGGACGCGATCGAGCGGGAATATCATCCAACGGATAGTCCTTGGGTCTTGACCCATGTCAGTCACCACTGGAGGGCAGTCGCCCTCTCAACTCCCATGCTATGGTCTCTTGTAGCGATCACTTTCAACCTCGACACATCGTCGACTTCTTTTCCGCTGCCCATGCTCGAGACGCAGATCTCGCGTGCCCACAAGTTGAAAGTTCATTTACATGGATCTGAAATATCTGACCCTGGTTTTCAAATCGAAACCTTCAAGTGTTTGGTGAAGCACGCCTCTCGATGGGAGGAACTCAGTCTTACCCTGACTTCCTTTCTCTTCCCCCTCCTGGCGGACCTGCGAGGGCGTCTGCCATTGCTGCGTAGAATGGCGATCGTGTGGGATGATAAGGAAAGCGGGGCGCTTGTGGACTCCATCGACTGCTTCGAGTTGGCACCTTCTCTGACAGACCTCAGCATAGTTAACAGATACCGGTTCATACCGGTCTCATTTCCCGCTCGACAACTCACCCGTTACGACCTCGACGCTCCCTGGGACATTCATCGGGCCCTACTGAAGCTCACTCCAAATCTTCTCGAGGCACGCATCCTTATCTGCTTCGACAATGAGGATTTCTCAGGATCTGAAACCATCCAATTGCCGTATCTTCAGCGCTTGCATGTTTCTCCTCCGCATGCATTGAACTTCCTCCGTTTCCCCTTTCTGGAGGAACTTTCAACCGATTTGTACGACGACACCGAGCTCGTTTCTGGCCCAAACCCCGTCGACTCATACGCGTACGGCGTTGCTGAACTCGAAGTTGCGCTCATGCGCTCCTCGTGTCCTATCCAAAAACTTTGTATTGAAGGATGTTCAAACGCTCACATGATAGCTGCCCTATTACAAAAGTTCCGCTCCATTGTCGAGTTCACAATCATAACGGACACCCCTTCTGCAAGTGCGCAGGCCGAAATACTGATGGAACTTCTCAACGAGGAGGCGGCTGGCAGCAGAGTAGTGGCCCCCCAGCTGGGCCGCTTGTCCTTTGGATGGGTAGACGACGGTTCCTTTGATTGCGGGCGATTTCTGAAGTTAGTGAAATACCGCTGGGAAGCGAAGTCTTGCGCCCTTAGAAGTGTTGCACTGTTCAAGGCAGATTCAGAATCCCGTCCCGACACGCCGGTTCTTCGTGGCCTCGAAGCTCTTCGCACGGATGGACTCGATGTCGTTTGGCTAGAGGACCGGGACGCGTCCATCGTCATGGATGATTATCGCTACCACCCGCAATGGACTTAGATCTGATATATGAGTACGTACTGCATGGTCTCACCCTCTCCTTCAATAACCTTCCGTCTTTTTTTCAGCTCGTTTCAATATGGGCGCTAATCAGCGGCGTGATTTCTGCTTCGTATAATTCCCTTGAATCCGAACTTTCTTGTGCATTCGACTTTGTTCTTCTGAAAATGCGAACTGAATTGCATAGTTGGAATTTAACTCGATGCGCGCCTCCGCGAGGTTCGGAGCCAGCTTCAATTGCACCGAGGGCAGAGTTGCGAGGGAGCAGACGCAGCCGCTACAAAGCGGCGATGTACTCGTCTATACCGACAGCGGATTACGAACTGACGGCGGGCAGGAGGCGAGCTGCCGCCATCTTACTTTGCAGACTGAGCATGTTTGTTATGACGCGCTTTCAATAGCCATAGTTGTCTTTCAAGTTGCGTTGGTAAACACAATCGGAGCTCCGTAAACTTGTTTCTGCTTCGCAGAACATCTTACCCGGCGGCGATTTGCATCGGGCTTACCGTCTGGGATTTATCCCCTTGCAAAGTGAATGTGTGTTCAACCAAGCGGCCGATCGTGAGAACCCAATCATGCGTAAGCGGAGTTTCAAATTTCCTTGCCTCTTACCATCATGCCCGCAGAAAGAGTCCCACCGCTCCTCGTAAGAATGGGCCTTGCCTGCCACCGATGCTTCCAGCAAGAAGATCTCTCCCGTTGCAGTGGATGCCGCAGAGTCTCGTATTGTAGCACCGGTGCGTGTTTTGCTGCGCACCCTTGGGCCTTGAGGTCATCATCCGAGCCGGGCCACAGAATGCCAGAAGGTCTAAATTCGCAGTTTGACTTATCTTTCACATGTAATAATTCCAGTGTAACTCTTGTAGATGGATTGGAAGCTCCACAAACCCATGTGCAAAGCGCTTTGTGCGCTCGAAAAAGATCCGGCGGCCGTTGCCACCCTTGTCTCCTCGATTCCTGTCGGACCATCGACCGACCTTGATGCACTTCGTGCCGTGACTGAAGAGCACCGCTCCATCATCGGGAACTATTGTCAACTTCGTCTCAACCGGTAGGCGACGTTCCGCTTTGTATTGTACTTTCTTATTGAGGACATATTTTCTAGTCAAGCGACCGTCCTCGAAAGAAATCTGGTTGGCTTTGAGCCCAGATGCATCGTCTGGTGCGCTAAATTCTATTCAATTCTATTGCTGGGACTAAGTTCGATGCTGGGTGCCAGTCCACGAACGGACCAACTAATTCGCATGGAAGCTTCAAGGACCGGAACGACATCAGAGCCCCTTCCGTATCTCTCTGCTTGCCCGCGTTGCGATTTGAGTTTCTGCTGCTCAGCTGAGCACTGGGAGATCGCACAGCCTCTCCACGACGGGTTTTGCGAGGACGGTCATGATGGACTTTCCCACTGCGACCTCAATTGCGAAGTGCGCGAAGACGTCAAAATCGCAGACGCCATAAGCCGTGCACAGGACCCTTCAGTTTTCCGAGAGCTCGTGTGGGCTCCGGAGCGCATTATGCCGACTTGGATGTCCTTGACTGGTACGTCTTGGGAGACGCAATTCGGGGACGAGATGCGCCAGTCGGCTGGCTTTCCCGAAACCGTTGCGGTGGGCAAGTTGATCCGTACTGCTTCGGAGAACCTGAGCATGCCTATGACCATTCTGTACGCGCTGGAGCAACTGAATGTCGATGATGCGTGGACTCACAAGCAAACTCTGACGATCCACGTACGCTTCCTTCTACTCTTCATTAAGTCATTTCTCATGGATCATAGATCATCGGCGCCGAGATGTATGAATTTCAAGGCTCTGTGGTTCTTGAGGAAATCATGCATCGCCTGCCTGAAGTGAAGACACTGAAGGTGAGTACTATTTTGCACCATTTGCTGCTTCCCATCCATACCCCGTGTATTAGCTGGTGTTCTGCGGTCCTGGGAGTCCTGCGAGTGTCCCACAAGGCATAGCCATGGAAACTTGCCCGTCAGTTCTATCTCAACATTCGAAGTTGCGACATTTACAGTTATGCCCCAGGGAGTGCACTCGCCATGAACGTACACGTCTCCATGTTATGGTGGCTGAGTGGGTCTATTCTCTGGTCATGTGAGTTGGCTCACAGCTTCACCACGGGCAGCACCTACCATGTCTTCGCACACGGCCCCACTTACGAATTGCCCGATCTTTGCGTCGCGTTCAACTCGGGCATTGGAGAGCCATCAGCGCATACACAGTGGCCCGCCACCGTTAAACTCCTAGCTGACCGCAAACTTCCTTCTGTCTTCACTGTTCGTTTGAGTTCAATTCATTTGGTGCCGCACTGACCAGCCTGTGTAGTCGTACAATCGCCAGGAGGCCGAGGAAGACGCAGTCATGCTGAGGGTAGTCGGCGCGACGTTGCTGCCCAACCTCGGTCCTCACAAAAATCCGTGGGGGAGTATGAAGCTGATGCCAGAACCGAATCATGTGTTCGGTTTCTATGCCGTGAATGCGTGGATCGCTGGTGGATTCCGTTGACTGTCCAAAATGGTTTTCGAAAACATGTCCGTCAGGGCCACCACATTTATGTCTCGTTTGCGTATTCGCTGGATCTGCCGATTTCTTTTCCTTCCCAATTCTCACGGTGCCGTGGCTCTAGTAGAACTCATCTTCAACCTTTGGATCAACTTTCTTTTTTGATCGCCAGAGAAACTCGGTCCGTGGCGATAACATATAGAGAAGAGGTAGGTTACGTGTGCACCTTTTGTTGGACAACATTCGGTGTAGGATTTCTTTTTCGTAAGAAGCTCGCTCCTTGTTAAACCTCCTTCCGTATTCAATTCGCATCGCCAGATTGATTCTCATTGGGCATCGCGTTCCCGCTGAACTGTGCGATACTCAACCCTTCTGACTGTTAAGTCTTGACAACTTAGTCGAGTCCTGGTTGATCAATGGTTGATCCTCCGCTCGCAATCTGGTAAGACATAATAATGTGTGTGCGGATGCCGCGGTCTCAAATCCCGTCAAGAGCATGAAGAGCCTTACCCGTTTTCCTCTTTTTCTTTTCCTGTTAGACCCATTTTTCGTCTACTTACGGTGTCCTCAACACGAGACCGGATCGAGTTCTTCCGTTATCGAAAGTATGTCGCAACGATAGAAGCTAAGCATTTAACACACCGGACGGAAGACCTGTTCTTTCTTGGTTCTTGCAGAATCTTTTGGGTGTTGACCTCTCGTAGATCAGCGGTTGATCATCCACTCCTGGTAGAAGAGATTCTGTTCGTTCGGTGGGCGACGTGGGTTCGAATCCCACCGAGGGCGTGTCCGATCTTTGCTGAGTTTTTTTCTTTTCTGTTCTGTACAGTACGTTGAACAATGAATTCGAGGAAAAAGCATCCGACCGCCTTGATGCGCAGCCACGCATGCGCATATGGACGCATGTCTCTTCCGGCATTGAACCTACCTGTCCTCGTCTTGTTTTAAGTTTGTTCTTATTCCTGAGATGCCACTGTAGCTCGATCCGCTTGCCAGAAAACCTGAGAGGTAGCTGCTTAAGATATTCCTCTGGTTCATTGAGTTGTCGGAACAAAAAAGTCAACACCGAAGGAATCGGAGATCTAAATGCGTCAGCTGAGGTTCAGTGGTACCACCAGACCACTTCTACTGACTGACCTGCAAGTCCGTAAAGTCTGAATCCAGTGGGGTTACCGTCCCCAACCCAAAGACGAAGCCGGGTTGAACGATAGATAGAACGTAGAATGGGGAATTCGGATGACTTGATTAGGGGAGTGACGGGCAGGTCAATTAGATTCAGGCTGCTCCACCATGCTATAGCGCTGAGGGTACACGTCGACTGACGAGCCCCCAGAGATGATTATTCGGTTTGCCAAAAGGTCAAGGAAGCAACGGCAGCACCAAAATCACAAGCGAATTTGAACAAAGACTCGTGATTCGATTGCTGGATTAGCTGTTGAGATGTAACGTCCGTCATCCCCTCGGTCCGCTGTGAGGTGACGAGTCGTTTCCCGCACTTATTCGGGTACCTAAAGCGGAGTTATAGATGTTTCGTTTCCAGAGTCGGGGGTTCAGGCACCTGACGACATGAACCCGGCGGCACTGCAGAAACAACCCAGCTGGTACATAGTCCTCCAGTTCGTCTTGTTATAGTGCGAAATTGGAATCCGAACAGTAGGATTAGAAATTGATATTAGATGCTGGATCATTAAGGAACGCGAGTTGAATGCGGCGTTAGATCGTCAGCGTCACGGAATCACGCCGACTTTCAAAGGTATCAGAACGTCCGGGTTAATTGGAGAGATGGCCGGGGCATGGTGGAACTAAATCGGAATCGGGAATTCATGTCGCTCAACCACTGCTCCACCAAGTACTGGACACGAAGCAAGTAAGTATCATTTGCATCGGGTTTTCATAAGGGCGAGGGCCAGATCTACGTCCGAGGGTTTCAGCTTTCAGCGGAGAAGTCAGTCCCAACGAGGGAAGCTTGGAGTGAGTTCGTTGCCAATATTTTGTCGGAGCCAAATCAGAATGGGAATGGATTGCCTTGGAACTTGGTTGAGGTTCGAAGTTCCTAAATTTCGGCGACCCGTTTCAGGGTTGTCGGCTCAATCAGTGCTCCATCTGAAGGCTCCACCTCTAACCGGGTCGGCAACTCGAACGCAGAAGATCTAAAAATTCAGGGGATTCCTGGTGCCCGAATGGAGCACGGAGTGCGCCCGAATCCAGTACTTAGAAAGGGCGAGCGCATATCCGTGTGAAGCTTGACCCCGGGCCGCGGTGGGACGGTGAACGCCAACAAAGCGAAAGCTAAATCATGTCAACGAGGCAAAACTAGACTTGGAGTGAGCGAGTTTGTACATTGATTCGAGCTGTGAGAGGGGCAAGTGCACGAGGTTCGAACACGCATAACTCGGGACCTTCGTGATGGATAGATGGGTTGAGTCCAGGGGTCTCAGCGCAGGATACTGTTTTTCCATTCTCCATGCAAGCGAAAGCGAATTCAATTTAAGCCGGCAAAGGAATAGAAAGAAGTGTATTTTGAGATTGGACTTGACTGGGGGAGAGCGAAATTGGACTGCGACAGCGCTAGGGCAAGGGCATGGACGCAACTCGGGATTTTGATAGCTATAGATTAGAGCTCGCAAGGGTTGAGGATATTCATATCCGTCGATTGAGCTTGTAGATTGCGTCTAAGACTCTGAACGCGGTGTTTGAGTTGTCGGATGTCAGACGCCGGATGTTGGATGTCGCCGTGTTTACCCAGTCAAAAATAGTAGAACTGGAATTAACCCGGAAATTGCGTGAAACAGCCTTCAGTTATCTTTTCAAGTCGGCCACCGGATCTGCAAGCGAAACGGAAAGACAAGGTGTATTTTGAGGTTGGAATCCGCCGGGAGAGGAACAACTGCGCTACAGAGACCCCACTCCGGATTCTGATGGATTAGAGAGCGCAATGAGGATATTCGTTGGTTAGGCTGGTAGATTGCGTCCAAAAGCCGTTTGAATCGTCGGATGTTGGATGTCGGATGTCGGAGCATCGTCCGTTTGCTACAAGTTGAAGATACCCGATACGCGGGCTCCAAAGTCTCAAGTAGCCTCCCGGAAATCGACAGCATGCAAGGGTCGGCGCCGGGCGATGATTGCGAAAAGGAAATCCAGCAAGCTCCACGCGACAAGCCAATTCGCAGCTCCGCGCGCAAGTAGAGGCGCTCTATCCGAGCCACATTCGAGTCATTTTCGTCGTTAGACTTTACGGCAGGTGTGTGCAGAATCAGAACACAGGAAGACGGAGAAAGACAAAGACGGAAAGGCCGAGATCTAGACAGGATCTGTCGACGGAAGCCAGATCCAAAGCGGGGATCAAGCTGTTAAGATTGTTTAGGCGAGAGAAATAGGAGGTCCGGTGTGGGTGCGCACTGCGGGAACGAGCTATCCCGTCGATTGAGTTCAAGAAGTTTTGTGGAAGGGAGGAGCATTCAATATTCAATGGCGGCGCGTAAGCGTCGGATATCCGAGTCGCTCCATCCAGACTCCAGACTCCAAGACTCCGAGACAAAGAAAGCCGTTCAATTTCCAAAGGGGCCGCGCTGGGCCGCGCCTTCCCGGATTGTGATCGCGATATCTGCATTCGAAATTTGAAAGACTGTATTATCCAGGTCGCGCCGCGACCCCTCCAGGCACCGTTGAATGTAAACCGTTGAATGGAAGTAAAAAGGGACGCGGGGCCTGGATGGGGTGAAAGGATTAAGGAGAAAGGAGAAAGAAAGTAAGACAACAATGCACGGGCGCGGCGTCCAAACACACGTACCAAATTGTAAACAAACCCGTGTTGGTTGATATTCGCCCGCGTGCAGCGTGCTGTTCTCCTCCCTTCTTCCTTCCTTTCCCTCCCCACCGTCTTTTCTCTTCCGTACCCCCAACGTAGCTCGGAATCCAACGCGCTCTTGACTCACTGTGCTCTCGACTCCCAGCGTGCTCTAAGCCGAGTCGTTTGAACGCACTCACCGTGCTCATACCTCGCACCTCACTGTGCTCGCACACCACGCACCTACACCCATGAGATCCCTCACCCTCACCTTCGCGCAGCTCCTCTTCCCCCTCTTCTCCCTCTCGCTCGTCGCCCCCGCACTTGCACACGGCTGGCTCGGCACCCTCACCGTCGCCTCCACCACCACCTCCACCTTACACACCGGGCCCCTCCCTGTCGAGCAAATCGGCCCCTCCTCCTCCCCCTCCCCCATCCGCCAAATCCTCAACAACCTCCCCATCAAGGACCCCCGCTCCTTAGACCTCACGTGCGGGCGCGGTGCCCGCGACGCAGCTCGCCGCCGCCAAGCCCGGGGATGTGATTGAGTTGGGGTGGAAGACGTTGGCAGAGGGCGGGAGGTGGTTCCATGATGTGGGGCCGATGATGGCGTATTTGGCGGAGTGTGGGAGTGAGGAAGCGTGTAAGGGTGAAGGAGGGTTCAACGCGAGCGAGGCGGAGTGGTTTAAGATTGACGAGCAGGGGGTGGGTGCGGATGGGACGTGGGCACAGGCGAAGCTCGGTGCGTTCCTTTTCTTCTCCCCTTCCCATCTACGCGCAGGGATGTGATGCAAAGACTCACCGCCGCGCATATGTGACAGACACCGGCGCCCCCGCAACGCTCACCCTCCCCCCCACGCTCGCCCCCGGCAACTACCTCCTCCGCTTCGAGATCATCGCGCTGCACACCGCGCAGTCCCCCGGCGGCGCCGAGTTCTACCCCGCCTGCGCCCAACTGAGCGTCTCTGGCTCCGGCACGGGCAAACCCAGCGCGAGCGAGCTCGTAAGGCTGCCGGGCGCGTATAAGGCGACGGATAAGGGCATTTTGGTGGATGTGTATGATTTGCCGGAGGGGGGGTACATATGTGTTCCCCGGGCCGAAGGTCGCTGCTTTTGTGACGGGTGGGAGCGCAGCGGCGGGGACGCCGAAGACAAGCGCGACGACGAAGACGAGCACGAAGGCGGCTGCGACGGCGAAGACCACCAAGGGCGCGTCTTCCACGAAGGCTGCCACGACGTCAAAAACCACCCAAGCAGCGGCCACCCACAGCTCTACGCACACCACCGCACACGCCGCCTCCACGTCCGCCCCCAAATCCACCACCGCGACTGCGTCGCCGAAGACGTGCAAGACGAGCCACGCGTCCCGTTGCCGGCGCGCACTGGCGGACGCCGCTGACTTGGAGGCGCGTGTGCAGTCGGAGTCTCAGTCGGCGGCCGTGCGCGTCGATGGGCGCGAGGGCGTGCACAAGGAGGAGATGGAGGAGATGAAGAAAGGCAAGAAGGATGTGAAGCGCTCCCGCGCGCGTCATCTGCACCGGCTCGGCGGGCCGGGGCCGCCGGCGTCGTTTTGAGCGCGCTCCTTGCTCGCATCTCCCTTTCTCCCCGCTCAGTATCATCGACTCGCATCCCCGCACCAACGACATGATAAACAACAACGACGGGCGCATGGAGCCGCCGCACCCTCTCCCTCACCTCTCGCACCCGCCGTCCACAATTCTTGCTCTCTTCAAGTTTCCTTTCATCTCTTTCCCCTCTTGTATTACCGCCATCGCCATCGCGTCTGGACGCGACGCCTCTACTCTTGACCTCGAGACCCAGCGTCTCTCAACGTCCGACCCAGCGTCCGACCAAATTGCAAACGGCGGCGCGTGCGCCGTTTAGGCCCTCGACGGGTTCTCAAGATCCAATTTTTTGTATATCCGGCGGCTTACTTACGCTTGAATGCTCACTTACGATTGATTGAATGTAGCCGTACCATCTGTAGAAAATGTAGATGTAGATAAAGAATGAAAGCGCGGTGCGTTTGCGTTCTATGTGCCCGCAAAATTTCCCCTCAGACAAAAGCCACAAATTGCGAAACGAAGGCACGAAACCGATCCAAGGGCGAAAAAAAGGACTGACCCAATAAGCTCTCGGTGGGAGTCGAACCCACGTCGTCCACTGACCATTTCATCATCTTCAAAAGTTGAGTGGAAGATCTACCACTGATCCACAAGGGCTTGATGTCTGCGGGAGGGTGGACTTTTGTCAAGTAGTTTGCTGGGGAGTGCTGAACTCGAAATTCATGTAGCCTCGGGCGCAGAAGATCAAGGGATTTAAACGGAGGAGAAGGCGATTCAAACGGAGGAGTAGGAGGGAGGCAAACGAAAGGGGAATTTAAGGAGTGGACAAAAAAGCTACCTCATCCACACGGCGACGCCCTCGGTGGGATTCGAACCCACGTCGTCCACCTAAATTCCATGGTGAAAAATACAAGGGTAGTGGGTGATCTACCGGTGATCTACGAGGGCATGGTTAAGCATGCGTTGTGGCGAATCTACCTGGTTCCCGGAAGTGTGAACAAAGGGTTGCACGTGAAATTCAGAGAAGGAGGAGGTATTTGAGCCGGGAATAAAAGAAAGGGGAGTTGAAGGAGAAAAAGGGATTGCTCAAAAGCATACGCACTCGGAGGGAGTCGAACCCACGTCATCCACCTACTCCAAGGATTTTTTCACATTGCAAGTGGATGATCTACCATTGATCTACGAGGGCGTGAACATATTGTGGGAGGGTTGAGTTTCGCCAGGTCGTTTCCTAGAGAACGTGAATAAATTTAGAGGATTAGACTCGGAATTCATTCCTGAGTGAGCCGAGGTCCAGCCTGGAGGGATTCCAGCGGAGAGCATGCAAAAGAATAGAAAAGAACAGAAAGGGCAGTTGAAAGGGTACAAAAAGAAACACGGAGTACGATCACGCCCTCGGTGGGACACGTTGTCCACTGAAATTCGTGAACTCCTTTTCATTGAGAGTGGAGGATCTACCACTAATCTACGAGGACATGATCGTGTTGCGAGAGGTTTGAGTTTCCCAGGATGTGAGTGTGAGTGAAATGAACTCGAAATGTCGTCCCGGTACAACCAATGGACCGTTGGCCATTGAGACAGACTTTGCATGTCCTAGCAGCGAAGCGAAAAAAAAACGTCAGGTGGGTTTTGCCCGCAATGCAGAGTTCCCTTAAGCGTTGCGTCAACCATCAGCCACCAGAAAAAATGTTGTCATCATCATCACTTAGCTGCCCCTGCAAGGTTCAAACTTGCGATCTCACGATGAAATGTTAGCGGTCCAATTCATAACAGTCGTGCGCCTTCACCAACTGGGCCAAGGGGCAGTCGAGTTGTAAGTTGTAGATTTGAGCGGGGGTAATGGGATACCAGTATTGAGCCATGAACAACGACAAAAAAAAAGCTTGTATATCAAACATGCTGCATGCCTAAAAGCTGTTGACATGCATTGCGAGGAATATCTACCGCTGATCTACGAGGGCATGATTTGAATACCGGTAGGAGTTAATTGAATGTTGAACATCGAACAAAATCACAGACAAGACAAGAAATCCCGTGCCAAGCTCATCCGACGCCTGTCAACAAGCATTGTCTCGCCCTTATTTTCGATGAGTGTATCAAAATCAAGCGCAGAATGCATGATTCTCTGAGACAGCCAAATTGTTTGAGATTGAACATTGTCCACGTGACTGTGGTTGAATTCGAACATCGATCACTTTTATGTCCGAGGCTCGTAAAATCATACTAAGGGGCCGGGTCTTTCATAGACCATCAGAAGTCCCAATCATCACATACAGCTTTGTATAACATACACCGCGAAAAGTCCCGTCGAAATGCAGGTTATCCCCAACACGCAAAATCGTCGCTTGCAATGGAAGCCTCAACATTGGTTCGGTCGCATGTGGTAATGCCTGTGCTATCAGATTATTTGGTGCTCAAAACGGATGCCCACATGCAGCATCAGCCGAAGCATCGACAAGTGTTGGAATCGGACTCCGCATTCCGGGCAAGAAAACGGTGTATATCCTTCCTTACAGAGCAAAGTCCGGGTTAGTAACCCAGGTACGCTGAAACGTACGAATTGGACCGCCGGCGGACTAGGGATTGTAAATATCTGTTACGAGATTGCAAGAAGAAACACGCCAGAAGCGTGTACAGCGAAAGCAAACAAAAAATATTACTTTGCTTCCATGCTCTCGGCAGGAGTCGAACCCGCGTCGTCCACTAAACACCTCGCTTTATTGGGTATGAATAGAGAGGGATCTACCGCTGATCTACTAGGGCGTGAGTGGGCTTAGAAGAGTTGTGTATGGCTGGTGTATGGCTCAGCGCGATGGCAATGCAAATGAAGGCTTTGCACGCAAAAGCAAAAGAAGGAGAGAGGCATGGAATAAAAAAACTCGGTGACCGGGCAGAACATAACACAATGGGACATTTGGGATGCTCTCAGTACATACATCCTGTGGGAGATGATCAAAATAATTTCACTTGGAATCCGCTCTCGAGAGCATCGCTCCTCGATCGCGAGCGGTGAAATGCCCAGGCGGAGCAAAATTCAAAATGACACCGAAGATTACTGAATTTACTAAAGTCAACTTGGCGGAGCCCTGGACCGGAAGCCTTGAAGTTGGAATCCGTTTGACATTGTTCGATTTCTTTTTGTGGTTGTGCCGAACTACTCACACGAGTCGGCATGTGTTGTAGATCCAGAGTCTCGTCGACTACAGAATCAACGCCTTTTCTTATATATACCAGAGAAACAAAAATAGTGGCAATCACTCATGCCCTCGACGGGAGTCGAACCCGCGTCATCCACATACGCTTCCCATGCTGCATAAGATATGCGTCAATAGGAGCACGTGTTATGTAAGCGTCACGCGTGACCCGACGCTGACGAAGATCACGCCCGCCCCTCGGCCAAAAAAAATATTTTGCTCTGGTACGTGGAGGATCTACCGCTGATACGAGGGCGTCGGTGCGTATAATTCACACTGAGAAGAGTTAAATATCTAACACCGGGCAAACACAATGCGACATCTGTGACGGGTGCTCTCCTCTTCTTCCTGGTGATCCATGGAGGCGGCCCCAATGGATAGTAATGACTTGCACTGCTCCGGTGGTTCCAGGTTGAATACTAGTCGAGCCTCAAAGCGGAGCAAAATTCAAAATGGCACCGAAAATGACACCGAATTTCGGGACCAGGTGTGAAATGAAGGGGGAGCCTAGACCGGAATGTTTGGAGCCTTGGAATCCGGTTGAAACTGTTCAATTTTTTTTTTTGTGGTACCAAGGCAAGTCGGCATGTGTTGCAGATAAGTATGTCGAAGAGCTCAGCCGCCGTAGACACAGAGCGGTGAGATGTTGGCCAAGGAGTGCACCCGGTTCCAGAGTATGATCGTTTGCACCACAAGGAGGAGTGTAAAAGGAGTGTCGTGGTTGGCGGCTGGCCGTACTCATCGTGTTCGGAACAATCCGGTGGCAGTGCCTCGCACGAATTCCTTTCGACCTTTCGACCACGACGTCCGGTTTCAAGGAACTTTGAGGGGTCGCCCAGTGTTTTGGCGCTCGTTCTTTACTCCGCCACTCTGGGATGAACCAGTAGCGCAACCCACGGAACGGCTGATGCGGTCCGACGGAGGGTCGAGAATTCGTGCCCAAATTGAAATCTTTGGCTGCTTCTAAAGGACTACAGTAGGCTGCTTTCGCGGACGTTACCGGACTGTTAGCGACTAGAGGATACGCAATGGAGGAGTCCCCACGACGCACGGCCCACGGCCCTTGATTGATTCGTGTCAGTTCCCGTCACCGAGGGCCATCGTCCCAATCCTCTTGTCGGTCGCTTTGGGCCCGGATCCATTGCCCTCAGTCGTGGTCATCGTATCCGATGACTATAATCGAAACTCAGCTCCTCCTCCTCTTTCGGCTGCCTTCACCACCGTGGAATCGCTATTAACACTCGTCTTTGTCACCGCGCATGGCACCGTCGATGGCAAATATTACGCTAGGAACAGGGCAGAATAAATGACGGGCTCTGGCGCGTTCGTGCCCCCCAGCAGGGAACTGCATCCGGACGTGTCCTTGCTCTCCCTTCCCTCCGCGCCCCTTGTCCGCTACCCTGTCTACCTCGTATTCTGTCGCCGCCATCAAGGTCGTCTTCCCCACCGCGCACGGCTGGCTTGACACCCCTCTAGCCTGAGCTTTTGTGGGTCAAGTTCGAGTGGACGTGATGCGCGCCGTGCGCAGACGGGTGGGTCGTTTCCGTCCGCGCGTCAGTTCCATCTTAAATAGCGCAATTTACAGTCTCGTTCTGCACCCCCGACTCTTGATCGCGCTGCCGCCGCTTCACAGTCTATGTAGTTCTTGTGCGCCTCGCCGTGAAAGACCTCACCTGTGGACTCAGCGCGAAGCCGGGATACGATCGAAATCAGCCACTGACTGGAATGCGCTCGCCGCGGACGGCAATTAATCCTATGCGGTTTGCGGGGCTTGGTGGGTGTGTTTCTTCTCCCTCTTCTCTTCTTTTCTAACGACGACTCGCAGACTTCCGCTCCCCGCAAGCCTCACGCTCCCCACCATCGCGCCCGGCCGCCCGAGGCGCGGCATGTGGCAAATGTGTACTTCCTCCGTTCGAAACGATCGCGCTACACGCCCCGTCCGCGCGCAGCTCTGCGTGTCCGGCCCCGCAGCAGGGCGACACGACTTGCGACAGGGTTTCACGACGTCCGGCCCATGCCCACGACGGTGTGACCGACGAAATCCAGGCTTTGAAGCGAGCGCGACGACGGGGCTGGACGCGGAAATTGGCGCAGACGAAACTGGTGGGTCTCTTCTCCGCTCTCACTTCTCCCTTCCCTCCATCCCCTTCGCTACTTGCGCTCTTTTCGCTCCTTACGCTTCTTCCCATCCCGCCTCTTACTCATCTTCCCTCCGTGCCTGCAGTCATCGCAAATTGGACTGGATACCAATACCGAATACGTACGACGACGCACAGGCGTCGGCTCCCCCAACACCCTCGCCGTAACGCCCTGGCGCGTGGAAAATGTGTACCTTCTGCGTTCCGCGCAATCCCCCGGGGGCACAGAGTTCTATCTAGACCCCGTCTGCGCGTAGCTCGCCGTCTCCGGCACCGCGCGTTCAAGCCCACGTAAGGGTCCGATCGGGCAGTACATGTCGACGCCGATGGTCTGCAGGGGGCGTACTAGCTCCTCGGGTCATGTCGTTGCGTTCGTTGAGGGTGGGAGCGCGCCAACGGGGAAGGCGGGGTACCGTGAATGCGCCTACGTCAACGGCGGAGGGGAAGGCGGTGGGCTGTATGCAAAGCGGCTCTGACGCCCAAGAGCACCCAAGTAGCCGCGACGTCCAAAGCCACCACAACCGTCCACACACGCACACCACCGCGCACGCCGCCTCCGACGCCTCGGTGTCGCCGCTGACGTGCGGAACGAGCCGCACGTTCCGCACACCGCACG